AAATAAATAAATTTATTAATAAAATTTTGCATAATTAATATATTTAAATTTAAATTTAAATTTAAAACTTACTCATTGTCAGTAAAAATTATTTCATTTTCATCTTCAGAGATTTCAATTGGGACGATTTTTTTGTTTGAACTCATAATTGAATAATAATATTAAAGTGTATAAATATTTGAAATTTAAAAATGATATTAAAGTGTATAATAATATAAATTATATTAATATAATTAAATAAGGTATATATGTTAAGTCAAGTTTAGTCAAGATGATTGTTACTAAATTAGGTTTTTAACCCCTTTACGCTGCCAGCCCTGGTTTATATTAGCAAAAACCCATTGGTTTTGAGGTGGAGCCATTGGTTTGACGGGCTGTTGGATAGTCAAATATTTTTTAGTAGAGCAAATAAATTTTTTTAGGTTAATTATCATTCTACTGACCAGCTTACACATCAAAAAATAATACTTGTGTACTGTTCCTCTGTGTGCGGAATTGATAAATTTCTAAACCAAGGTGTAAGTAAATGTTGTTCTTTCTCATAATTAAAATTAAAGTTATTAACACTGCATCCAGAAAACAGTATCAAATATTATATCAATATGTATATTATACGCAGTTGACATACAATTTGCAAGCGAAAAAAATATGCTGTATTATACAATATTTGATACTGTTTTCTAGATGTGTAACGAACTTTGTTAAATAACCTAAATAATTTACAATTACTTGCATATTGATTAAATTACTTGCAGATTGGTAAACAACTGTGATCAACAAAGTTTAACTAATTAACCGGTTCAAATATTTGAGCCAGTTAAATTGCCAACACTGTATCATTGGGATGCCAGCATCAGATTAACCTTTGTGGGCCGAAGAAGATGAGAATAATTGTAATGCCTTAAATATACGAGCCTTGAAGATACACTTTAACATCTGTAAATTTCCACAATCAAATATATCGAATTGTTTTTTTGGTGTTTCCAAATTGTTCAAGAGCAGTTTTCTCTAATAATCAACCATGTTGCTTTTTTTACCATGCAATTATTTAATGTGTTAACATTAATGATCAAATTATCTCTGGCTATTAATAAATAGCATATCTTCTTTAGAATCGTACCAAACAATACTTCATGAACGCCTCTTGGTTTCGCGTTTCAAAAAAAAATTGAATTCAACACTTTACTCCTTAAAATAATACTTTTTCATGTTTCATGTTCTTTATTATTTTTTTAAAAAAAAAAAATTGAAAAAAATAAGAATAAAAGTTAAGCAAGCATGATTAAAGAGTCCTGATCAGTCAGAAACCATTAATTTGAGCTCTAATTGATTATACTAAAAACAACACTGGTGGTGGTTAATAATAAAGGATGATAAAAATATAAAATAGTCGATTAAGTTTATTGAAGATCTATTCGGAGGGAGTGGTTATTCACATTATATATTATGTTGCAATGACCGATTTTTTTATAATAAATAAAAATCTCAGTTCGTTAACAAATAAGCTAATACACTCTATATATACAACGCAATCATTTCCGCGCCAAATTAATTCTGTTCTTTTCTTACATCAACAATCACGAGTTTAATGTTCTCTTTAAACGGAACAATAAAAACAAAATAAAAATTTTAATTTTACAAATATTTACAAGTATTAATGTTATTATTTATAAATGAGATATAAAATATATGTATAATTTTTTAAATATTTTCTTCGTTTATTGAGTTAAGACCTGTTTATTATTATTAGTTACAATGAAAATTAAAAATTTACGGTTAGAATAGAAAGGTAATAATAGTAAAAAATGTTTAATTAATTTTACCATATGACTGACCTGATAAAGGTGGTACCATATTTAATTGTCGCATTTCTATCGACGAAATATCAAAATATTTATTAATATGATATTCGTTACAAGAGAAATGAAAATAATAAATAGTGATAATGTTATTGATCTAACCTTCGGCAATTTCTTCATTGGTAAAAGTTCTACTGAGACGTTTTGCTTTTACACTCGAACTTCTCGAGTGTTTAAATCTCTCGTTGTTATTGCGACTATTATCATTGGTAGTACTACTAGTGATGCTCTGAGTACGTCTACGAGCAGCCAATTGGCCAAAATCTGATAAAAATTATTATTTTCTTAATTATAAATTACAAAATAATGTTTTGATTCATAATATTATTACAAACCTGCATTTGATTTTGCAAGATTAAACGGCTGTTTATTTTCTTTATTTTAAAAAATTTCAATATGTTAAAAAAAAAAAAAATAATAATAATAATAATAAATAATAATGACACAATTCTGACGGACAAGATCACAGAAGCCTTAAACTCTTACTTCTAAGGTAACTTATTGAAATCAAATTGATCAAATTGATCGAATTTTACCAAAATATAAAGCGATATATTAATATTATTATTAAAAAAATAAAATTTTCCATAAAATGGGTTTTGTGCACAGTCACGCGACTTTTTTCTATTCTAAATTCAATTGAAATAGCAAGTTTCACAATATAAAAAAGATTGATGATCGATTTTGTCACAAATGATAAAACGAATGTCCACTATGCTCAAGAGTGGTGGGTGGATATGATGATAGTAAACTCCAAGATAAAACATCAAAATCATCAAAATCATTAAAATCGACAAAAGTGTCAAAGTCAGCAAACAGGCACAAAACATGAACAAAATAATTAATATTAGTAGTTCTTTTCTCCATAATACAAAAAAGTGCGGAGTATTAGTATGCACAGAATTTCGTCATATATTATTGTCTCTCAAACGGTCAAAGTATTCTTTAATGGTAGAATAATTTTTGTTCATTATTATTGGCCAATTTAACGATCTGCAAAGTAAAAATAGTCAATCGACCAACTTTTAAGGATGATTTTACGAAAACCACAAGGACAACAACCGAATTTTTATTCACATATCAATCAGCTGAATTTCAAAGACCATTTTCGTATTAGGAAGTGTTACTTTCAGAAAAAGTTTTTTATTCAGAAGACATGTTTACATATTTAATTTGAGATATAAAAAATAATGTTAATGTTGAAATAACTAACACAAGTAAATCGCTATAAAAGCAATCAATGTAAATAGATTCGATATACTATCCTTTTTAACCGTTTTCGCCTATCTCTTCCTGCATCTTCTTTTGGATCTATAGAATGAGTATAATAAAGTGGAAGAAAACAATGTGAATGTATTTACGCCAAGAATTCTCTCACAAAGAAAAAGTATGTAGCTGAGGTAATTAATCGAATTTGGTTTATCAAGCAATCAGGTTGTCATACAAATAAATTATGAAAATTTTTAGCTATCAATAGCCGAAAACCGTTTAAGGTATATATAATAATAATGATAATAATTAAAATGTGCAAATTTGGGTGCACAGATTTCGTTTAATGTTACACGCCCCAAAAGATCTGTTCGAATTTCATATATACTAATACTAATACTAATACACTGCAAGTCACTTAGTCCCACAACTTTTTATTGGTCATGTAGATTTTCAAATTCTCCAAAAATAGAAATGCAACACCCCAAAAATAAATCGTGTATTTGAAGCCAAGACCTTCCTCTACAAAATCACGATTTCATTTCATTGATATGTCATACATATTATTTAAATTCCAAATCTGGAAAGATCCCTTACTGCAAGATTTCTTTTATATGTTTATTCCTATGTAAATGTGAGTAAGCTTTTTCATCTTTATCCTAAAAAATTTATACAGAAAAAAACTACTAAAAAAATATCCATATCAACATTCCAATTGATTATCATCAACCAGGATGATAATATGCTTCCTGTGATACTGATCAACAAATGTATACTATATTGGGAGATGCCATTAGTGTTGGGTTAAGTTTCCAGTCCAGGAAAAAAGTAGCTTTGACAATAGTTTGGGCTTCTCAATATTTTTATAAGAATGAACATGAAAAATTATAAAATCAACTATTTTAATTAAATAATTTAAAAATAATTTTGTCCAATTTCAGCTATTAATAAAAAATAATTTGGGCCCATATTTTTGATCAGTGGGGTGCATTTGCAACATTTTTATATATAGGCCCATTTTGTACCACCAGTTGCACAGTTTAGCCTAACACTATATTCACTATTGTCAACAATAAATGATGGTTTAATGATTGGATGAAGCAACTTGAAACAATGTTTGTCCTTGGACATTTTTTTGGAGAAACTACAGGAATGCCATAAGATCTGTTATATATACATAAAAAGTTGTGAGACAAACTTAATTACAATCTGTGATTTCACTATAATTCATAATTTTTTGCAAACTGACTTACATATTGTCAAATAATACAGCTGCTGCTTGACCAACCTTTGATTCTGTCAATGATTTTTTCCCTTGAGATGATCTGCACATAAATTATTATCAAAGTTAGTTTATTTCACTATTTTTTATTATAAGCATATATATATATCTTTTTTTTTTTAAGAAATAAAAAGTTGTATATATCTGCTCTTTCACTAAAGAAATGTATAAAAATGTAGGAAAAGATACACACCTATTAGTGGTATTTAAAGGTATTAGGACCACACTCCATGGAAATGCATAAAAGGTACAAATTACATACAGAGCATATAACATAATTCTTCCAAAACTTTCTTATTAATATGGATCTTTATGTTGGCTTTTATTTGACTATGTATGTTTATTTTTAGTGTATTAGTGAAAATTTATTATTATTTAAACTTTTATGGAATTCTTATTAATAGTTTCCCACTTACTACAGTTCACTCTCTCTATAACGAATCTTCTATCCTATATGTGATTTTGTGTTTACTAAGATTATAAGGAGAAATTAATTATTATTATAAAAAAATGAAGTTTGTTATAGAGTGTGAACTGTATATACAAATATGCGTATTTTATTCCTTCAATAATGGAAAAGTATTATATTAACATAAAGCTTTATTATTATGTTGTAAGATCACAAATTTTAAATAAATAAATTCGAATACATATATTTGTACATCATGCAAAAAAGAAAAATACATAAAAAAAACTTAACCGAATTTTAATGTGTAAAAATGTGATAATTGCTTATAAAACTTTAAATAAAAATTTGATCAACATATTTATATGTGGTACAAAGCCTTATGATTTAATTTTCCCCTATGTTTGTATATTAATATACTTGTGTATGGAGTTTATTTTTATTTAGGGCATTTCTATATATCACTTTAAGAAAACTAAATTTTTGATCCCTGAAATCCTTGGTAGTGTGAATGTTCACTTTGTCTGGTTTTGTTGTATGCCCCATATAACAATTTGTTTAAACAAAATAATATTAATACTATCTTGGAGTTGTTGTTACTTTAATGTATTTTGACCAAAATATGTAAAGGCTTTAATTTTTTTTCTAAATATCATTATCATCACCACTGGTTTAACTATAACATAATTCAGGGTTGACAATAGACTGGGTCAATTAGGGATTCATTGCCATTAACAAAATACTAAATATGGTTAAAATGTTATGACAATGATCCCAATGGACCATGCATGACCAACATAATTAAGATTTGGTAATTTGATTTTATTTATAAAACAGCTATATAAAGAATCCAATGTAACGAGTGACAAAGTATCGAGCACATATTCTCGAATGTCAGTGTATAATTCAATGCCCGCAATTTATCGGGTGTAACGGCATTAGTAATTTGTCTGCAGATAACCTTTAAATTTGTATAAATCTGCATTAAGTTACACATCGAAATTTATACACTGAATGTCACTACCACCCATCACATATAAAATTTATATATACAAATTACTGTTACAATATTAAATAAATAAGAAGAAAAAATGATTTGTTTTAAGCAAAAAAATAAAATGATAACAAGTATCCAATTTCACTTGTATATATTTTATTGTGGATAAGGACATTTTAGACCATTGACTGGAACAGATACTGCTGGTTTAAATACCCAATCAATTCCCCATACAAATAATTTGACATCAACGCGAAGATTTAGTGTAGTTTGTTGTATACCAGGTTGCTTAGTACAAGCAGAAAGAAAATCTTGAAGCACAGGATCACTTGCATCATTTGCTACATAATTTACATTTAATGGGAATCCAACTTCGCTAACTTGTTTTGGTGGAAGTGTATAATTTGTAATATTTCCAGTAGCAATTGGTTTATTAAATGATGATATAGTAGTAGAATCAAAGACCTGGAAGAATGAAAAAGTAATAATCAACAATAAAATTAAATGATTATAAATTATAACTAATAATTATAATTATAAAATAATAAATAACTTACTTGTACATCTATTCTGTTAAATCTGAATGGAATCCAATTTTCTTTATTATCAATTTGAGTTCGCATAACAAAATCCATATCAATCAATGGAGGATTTTGAGAGATTGATGGTGTACCAACTGGGATTGCATCCAATATTTTGACAATTGGTATACGAGGCCATACAAAATATAATGCCACAGCCAACAAAATCAAAATAACAAATGTAATAATTACACAATGTACTCCTGAACAACAACAACAACGCTTCCTTTGTTTTTTAAATGTATTATCAATCATCATTGGTTGATTAAGATTTTCTTTTTCAGAATCAATTTTACTGCCATTATGGAAATCATATGATGGGTTCATGTTATTATTATCTGGCAAAGTCATTGAGTTATGTCTTGTTGCTTCCTGATCATTGTAATATGATTGGTTTTGTGATGGATAATGATAATTATTATAATCATTATAAACATCCTGTTGCTGATTATTATTGCTGTTATTGCTGTTGTAACTGTCATAGTTATTTTGATTGTCCAAATTGTAAGTTCTATCAATTAAAGGCTGTTGTTGGTTGTTGTTGTTGTTGTTGTTGTTGAATACAAGTGAATTTGCTTGATGCGAAGATGGATAAATCATATGATTATTTCCAAGAAATCTTGAGTCACCATATACTCCATTGTTTGCTAATTCATTCGTGGCATGATTTTTTGAGTTATTTCTTGATAATGGGTCACTAGTACTTGGTTGAGAATATATTGATGCTGATCTTACTGAGACATTATCATCATTATTCACTGATCTTAATTGTGGTGTACCAATTGCTGTAGCTGTTGACACACTTGAATCAGATATTGAACCTAAATTATAAATAATTCGTGAATTAGGAAATAATAATAATAATATTATCATTGACTATAGTGATATTCTCAATATTCTTATTCCTTCCTATTTATTACTATATTATTAAATAATTTTTTAGTTTAATCTCTTGCATTTATCACTACTAATATCTATATACTACATATTTAATAAACAAAAAAAAAATTTACCTCTTTTCAGTGAACCGTGATAGGGCTGATTTTGATTGCTTTGCACATAATCACTCTCACTCAATTCTTGTATTCTTGGATTAGTGGCAGCATGCTCTCCCATCTCGTAAGGTTTAATACCATAGTTATTACTTGAGTTATTATTAATATAATTAAAATTATTGCTGTTATTATTATACTCGGGCCTGTATTGATTGCTATACTGATTGCCGTGTTGATTGTTGCTGTTGTTGCTTTTATAAGACATTTTTTTTTTGTTAAATATTTATTTATTTAATAAAAAAAAATTTTTTTTAAAGAAATAAATATAATATATATTTTTTTGAAGGAAAAAATTTTTAGGAATAAATAGTGAATCAAAAATCAGAATAGAAGTTTTTTTATGGAAAAGAAAGTATTATACAAAAGAATGAATAATAAAATGATAGGGTGATAGGCTCGGCGGTGTCAATGAAAAAGTTTTGGTTTGTGAAATTAATTATAGTTTTTGCGAGTTTAAATATAGTTTGTGTGATAAATTTTTATTAGTAATGTTTGTATGTTTGTGTAATACTGAAACAAGGAATAAAACATTATTTTTAACCACCTATGGTTTTTTCTATTTATATTTTATTTTGCAAATCAAATGTATAATAATAACAAATATATAATAATAAATAAAACTTTTATTATTTTTACTTATTATTTGTCGATTAATTTCTCCTCTTTGACTGGTTTAAAAATCAAGCATTTTAATTGGTTGGTTATTTGGGAAATATGATGTGTATTTTTGAGGTAATGGGGTCAATTAGTTTAGTTTTTTGGTACGTATGCTTAACATCACCATTATTGGCTAGTTGACTAATTTTTCAAAGGAGTAGGTAGAATGATGACGACAACACCTTTCAACGGTGTTATTTGTCATTTGTTGTGAAATGTAAAATGATCGTCGTAAATAATTGGTGGTGGTAGTGGTCGTCCGTGTCCCTTAACGAACAACTTGATATGAAATTTAAATGATGAAGGAGAAAACTAAATAATTAATCACAATGGTGGTTGATACGTGATAACTTTAATCATTGATGTTTTTAGAAATAATAAATAATAAAATGCAAGCAGGCAGAGAGAAAAAAAAATATGCAGATGTGATGTGTCCATGTGGTGTGTGTGTGGCTATATTATATTTTAATGAATCACTCCTTCCTTTCTCTATTCTACACCATATAAAGTTACACGGCTTCGCAACATCTCTCTCTCCCTCATCAATTATTTACTATTATATACAGTTTCATGTGACAAGGGTAATAAACTGTTTTTTGGGAACTATATAGATTGTTGTTCTTGTTGTTTAAACTTCTCTCTTCTCCAAATAATGATCGACTTGTATAACTTCGTCATCATCATCAACGTCATTGCCTTGTTTTAGAATAAATTTTAATTTTCTATAATGAGTAACCCAATGTATGTAAATTTCTGTTTATTGTTATATAAATTTATTTTTTTCATTTAAGTTCCAAAGAAGAATCAAGTGCCACACAAGAAATAGGCAAATCTGTTAATCGAGAGGATACAAATAGTTTAGTTACTTGTAATAAAAAAAAAAATCAATAATATTTTTTAACTTCTAAAAAAAATTTTTTTTTTTTTTAAATTTTTTGTTTTATATAAATAAATAAATAAATAAAAATTCAAAAAAAAATTTGTTGGGTGATAGATTCACCATATACTCTCACTCACTCACTCTAACACTTTTTTAACCCACAATCTTTTTTTTATTTCCACAATCATATATCTTTTATCTACTTTATTTTTTTTTGTTTTTTTGTTATTAAAAAAAAATTTTTTATAATTATATGTCTTACAACAACAACAACATTGGCAATCAAACTAACACAAGGCTTGGCAATTCAATTCCCAATCCAGATGATCTGTCTCGTAGACTAAGGTTACAAGCAGCAGTTGATAATAATGAATTCGAAGATGAACTTTCAAATTCACGATCTGTCCTAAATAGTGTTGCTGCTGGAAATTTCTCTTCCTTTTGGGGATCTATTTCCCCAACATCTGGCTCTAGATCCCCTGTACCTTTACAATGTTGTTGTGGCAGAGAAGATTGTCAGAACTTTGTTGCCTTTCTTAAAACTACTCAGTCAATGGAAGAAAGATTAGGATTAGCGTCTGGTAGGTTCTAAAAATAATTATCAATTAATGAGAAATTAAAAAAAAAATCTTATTTTATATTTATGATTTTAGAGGTTGGGCAGGCATTAGTACTTAAACAAAAAAATATCGAAGAATCTCATCAAGAATTGTCACAACAGGTTTTTTTATTACAACTTACATACAACTTATATTAACGTACATATTACATATCATATGGATTTATACTTGTATATCATATATTAATTTATTGTTTTTTCCTTCCTTCCTTTTTTTTTTTTTTTTTTCTATTCTCTATTTCTCTATATATTAGTATACATTTTCACAACAAAAAATTCAAAATCTTGAAGATATAATAAGAGAGTTTGAAAGTACGGAGCGATCGATAATCATAGAAAGAGACGATGCATTGCGCCAGAAAAATATTTTAGAAAAAGTAATTTAATGTTATAAAAACATTTATTTATAATGTATATTGTAATTATGATGAGATCTTTTTGAATGAAATTTTTTAACCTAATTAAAAATATATACTTCATATTATTATCTACTGTACTTGTTTTAGAAAAATAATTCACTTACCATAGCTTTAGATACAAGTGAAAATACTGTGCACTCCTTAAAAACGGAAATTGAAAAACGCGATAATGATATTAAAAGATTATTAGCAAACAATATCAAAGGTGAAAGAAGCGAAGAAAGAGAAGAAATGTTAAGGAGACAATTAGAGGATTTGAATCAAGAACTTTTGGTTACTAGGAAATCAGAATTAGTAACTGAAAATAAAATAAAAAAATTACAAGGAAGATTTGGTAATTACAATTAAACACATATCGTATATTTATATGTTTATTAATTAAATTAATATATTTGATGCATAGATTCATTATTGGAAGCACATGAAAAATTGAAAAAAGATCAAGAGGATATGAAGAAATCAAAAGGAAAACTAGAAGCTGTTGCAATACTACGTGAATCAAAGGAAAGAACAAAACAATACCAACAAGTAATAGTTTGTTATTTTTTTGTTAAGATGATTTATTCAATTTAAAGTTTTAATTAATAATAATAATGAAAATAATAATTTACTATTGATTGTAATAAATTATAACATGTAGTCCGTGGATTCTAACAATGAAGCAAATTCTAACCTCATATCTCTAATTAAAGAATTGTCATCAGCCAATAATAAACTAAAATCAGAAGTAATTGAGTATCGTGAGATTCTAACAGAATCCAGAAATGAGGTTACCTCTTTACAAAATCGTATTGAGGAAATGGAAACAGCTAGTGCAGCAGGATTTTTATATCCTGGTAGCTATGCAACCACTGCCTCAATTGCATCGCCTCTAAACAAAAACTTTCCTCAGAACATGGATGGTGATTTATATTCGGAAGATATTTCAAGCCCAATTCATTCATCCATTCCTCAGAATATCATAACCTCATTCGGTGGTCCTTCTTCATACAACGCATCAAACAACATAAATTCAACAACTGATCCACCAATACATTCTCCAGCCGACTCTTTACTATCTCCTATGCTCTCCTCTTCAAATCCACTACACTATCATCATCATTATCATCACTATCATCATTGTGGTAACGAAAATCCAGAGATTGTAAAAGGGAGCAGTGTCTTTGGAGAATTGGAGAAATATTTGATGAAACAGAAAACGACATCAAAGAGTGGTGGCAGTGCTAGTGGTGGCAGTGTTGGTGGCAGTGTTGGTGGCGGTCATAGTAGTAGGCGAGTTAGTCTGAGAAAAGGTAAAAATGTTGTTTTAGAAATTGAAGACGAGGATAATGAGTGTCTTACTGATAATCGTTCAGATATAAGCGAAAGTAAACGTAAGAGATTTGAAGATTATAATTCTGATTCACTACTTACTTGTACTGACAATGAATCAGACCAAGATACGCTTGAGGTTAGTACTGTATATATATATATATATATATATAATTTAAAATTTTATTACATTAATTTTCATTTTTATTTTAAATATATCTAATTTAATAATAATCATTAAAATTAATCTTTAGGGTGTAAATAATACTGCGAGAAGGAAATTCAAACCAAAATCAAAAGCGACCTCATCTAAATCATTAAGGGGTAGTATTTCCAAGAAAAAAGACCACTCTCAGAAATCAAGAGTTTCACTATTATCAGCCGGTCTCATGAAATCGACCGAGAGTAATTATTCTGACTCAACCATGCAATCTGACAATGAAAACTCCAAAACGCTAACCAAAAAATCATCGTCGCCATTGTTAGGTAGTAAAGGTTCATCAACACCACTACGTCGATCCCCCTCTGCTCCGTCAAAATCAAATGCTCAAAGACGTGGTGGTGCCGGAAATGCACCCAAAGGTAACAGTATTAACAGCGGTGGTAATGCTACTGGCTCTACCAGCCTACAGCACAAACCAGCACAATCTTCTCCATTAGCATTGCGTAATAAAAATGCACAAAGATCCAACAACAGCAACAATAGAAACAATAACGCTTCACAATCATCGAATTCTACAATCCTCAAATCTAAACAGATGAAATCAAAAACTCCTTTACCAACATTCAAAAAATCTAAATTTGCAACATTGGGACCAAAAGAACGTAAACTAATGTTGGAAGCATGGCGTGCAGGTGTTGCAAATGAACAATTGTATGAAATGTATGATAATAGTCATGATAATGATAACGACGATGATAAGATTAGTAATAGTAATAAAAGTAACAGCAATAAGAGTAATAGTAGAATGCGTTCCGACTCGATTGATAATGGTAGCGATGAAACTGTTAAAGGAAAAAGTCGAAGAAATCATTCCAATTCACCTATTAAAGAATTTGTTGAAGAGGTGTTATTGGATGAAGCAAATCTTCCAGCTGCTGAAGCTGCTGCAGTTGCCAACGAGGTGGAAAATAGCTTGTCTGTTAATGTTAGAGCGCCACTTTCATCTGCAGCTTTACATCCTTCAAGTCATCATCATCACAATTCAACAATGAGCGGTCATGATCAAGAATCAAATCTTTGTACTAATAATAATAACAACAACACTTCATCATCTCAACAACAAAAAGAAAATCCTTATCAATCACTGTTCAATAGCTGTAATCATATAATGGAAAGATTTAAAGGCACTGATATTTTAGCATTAAGTAAACAATTGAAAAAAGCTTTTGATATTTTGGAATTGACAAGTTTAAGTAATAATTTGATTGAGAATATTTTAGCTGATGTTGAAACTTTAAGTGACCGATTTAGGTGGGTGGGAGATCTTCGTGATAATGAAGAATTTAAAATAAACATTAATAATCATGATAATAGTAATAGTAATATTAATGATAAAGAAATAAATAATGATGGTGACAATGATGAAAAGATTAAAAAAACTCCCACAGAATTATACGCATTTTCTCCTGAAGACTTTTTACCATTGGCACATTTGTTCCAAGATCTTTTAACAGAGATAGGTGGTCTACGTAAAACATTTAATGATCTACAGCTTACATATGTACGGAAAGTTGAAGATACTCGTCGTAAAGCTGAGGAAGAGTTTGATAGAAGTACAGGGTATGATGATGAAATAATTGAGAGACGACAAAGTAACAGGATGAACCAGAATAATGAAGTTGGGGGTGTGTTCGGTACATTTAGTCGAGTGTTTGACATACAATCACAGTTACGTTATCATAGTAGAAGAATGTCGGTCGATTATTTACATGAACGTGACGCATCAGTTGGTAGTATTGATACATTTGCTGAAGATTCCTATTTTGCAGATCGTAATTACGATCCATATTCAAATGTACAAAATACAGCCAGATCTACCACTAAACGAAGAGAGAGCAATGAGTCAACTGGTGGCGGAGGTAGGATTAATGTGTGGTCTTTTTTTGGAAGAGGTGGTGGTGGGGACAACAACAATCGCAAGAACAAAAACAACGACTGCGACGACAACAGCAGCAAACACGAGAAGAGGAAGGAAGTAGCAGTAGTGGACACAACATCAGCAGTGGCAGTAGTGAACAAAATGGAAACCGGAAGTGGGAAAATGAAATACAAGAATATAACTGATGAAACAACAACATTTTTATCACAAAATTCTGCACATAAATATATTAATATTATAGATAATGGTAAAACAATTCCACAAAGAAATCAACGTAGAAATTTTTCGGAGAGAAGTCTTTTAGCTGATATTTCTACAACACCTATAAGGTCACCTTCCTCAACTACATTACAATATGTAGGAACTAATAATGTAGCTCCCGCAGCTCAGTCACAACGAATCCCACCACCACCACCACCATTGACAACAGTTACAAAGAAGCAATTACGTACAAATAATAGTAATGTTGGTAATTTGGAAGATCGTTTGAGAAAACATTTAGAAGCACCAATACTAGATGATAGCGTAAGAATTGATAGAGAAGTTATTAGTAATTATAATGACAATAATAATAATAGGAATAGTAAACAATGGAATATTGCTTCGATTTTCGATAACTTTTTTTAATGTAAAAATTAATCCTTTTCATTTATTCATCATCATTTCATTCATCATATCATCATATCATCAATTCATTCATCATCATTAATTCATCATTCGTTTCCTCAATAATATATTTGCAAAAATTATCACTTCATTGTAATGTATGCTTTATATTTATTTTATTATTTTATTTTTTATTTTAATATGAATTTTAATTTATTATATATTATATGTAAATTTATAATCTTATGTATAAATATGATTTATTTATATCGGCATATTATCAATTATATATATATGAAATTTATAGGATACATTTTATATAAAAAATATAAATATATAGCTTTATGTTTAATTTTTTTTTTTTGTTTAGAATCCAAAATAATTGGTTTTTTTTGTATCATAGATATTAAACCCCTTCCCATCCCATATATATAAAATAAAATTTATGTAACAAATGCTTTATTATTTTTCTTACACCTTCTATTCGTAAAATTTTTTTAAATCCTTAATATTAACATTTTTCTGTAACTCGAGAATCAAATTTAACCTTGACGGTTGCGATAACTACTTTCGATTTTAGGATAACAATTAATTTCAACTCAAAGAATAAAAAAATAATACAAATAAGCTTCTTTCTTAATACATATGTGAAATAATATTTATTTTTTTGCTCGGGAAAAAATCTAAAGGCATTCAATTTTCTTATGAATTTAGTTGATGAAAAGTGTCAAGGATAAGATAAATACTTGGGCAAATCCACATTTTGATGGGAGTTATTCTGATGCAAAAAGTCAATCTACAACATTTAATCAATACAAATATACTGAAAAAAGATCTTGGGTGGCTGAAAAAAGTGAATTGGACACATTGCTTGGCAATATTCAAACAAAACTTAATACATACCAACTACAACCTTATAAAGCACCTGATGGATTGACTTTATCTGATCTGGATAAAGTATGGCAAAGTTTGTTATTAGCAGAAACCAAACGATATAAATCTATTCATAATAAATTAAAAGAGTAAGCAAATCTTTTTTATTAAAAAAAGAAGACCAATAGGAAAATTTATATATTTGGATTTTGTTTAATATGCTTCATATATTTTAGTATTAAAGAAAACTTGAGAAAATCATTTGCTCAGTCAGCAAATGACTTTCAGAAAAATTTGGAATCTATTTCTTATTCTTTGGTTGAATTAGATGGTGAATTAGAGGTATTATCAATAACAACAAATCAAAATAATAACATTTTTATTTTCTATTAAATGTTAATATATTTCCGTTAGATTCAACTTAGTACAGTTAAAGCAATTTCAGCTAAATTAGGTCCTTTGGAAAAATCTCTTGGTCAAATACAAGAAATTGATGCAAGATGTCAAGAAGCTAATATTGAAGAAAATGATTACACAGTTTTTTCTGTAGATGATTTGAAATTTGAATTAGGTCTTGTACAACAGGCTGTCACAAAAAAAATCTCTTTTATTGAAAATCAAGTATTAGCCATTTTTTTATTAGTCTGTAGCTTTAACATATACCTATCCCTATATATTGATGTTGTTTATTTTTAGATTGTGTCTAGAAATATGACAAATTTGACACCAGCACAACTAGAAGAATTTGAAAGTACTTTTCGTCACTTTGATAAAGATTCATCAAATACACTTAATCTTTATGAATTCAAAGCAGCATTGGCTAGTTTAGGTATTTTCTACAATGTAAGTTAATTTTCTAACTTAAAAAATAATTTTTCTATCAATGATAACCATTACAACTATATTTAATAAATTCTTTAAAATAATTATAGGAGGAAGAATTATTTTCAGCATTTAATCAAATGTGTGAAGGAGAACCAGAAGCAACATTTGAACAAGTAATGTTATTATATTAAAATTTAAAAATTCTCCAGGGTCATTCTTTCGTAATTAATTTATTAATTCATTTTTTTTTTCTAGTTTATTCTATATATGGTCAGTTTCACAGAAGACAAAACAACGCCGGATCAACTTAGAAGTTCATTTAAAGCTGTTGCAAGTGATAAACCTTTTGTTACAGAACTTGATTTGAAAAGATCATTATTATCAACGAATGTTGTATCATATCTTAAGGAAACAATGCCACAAAGGGATGATGTTGCTGATGGTTATGATTATGAGAAATATTTAGATAAAGTTTTTGGATATTAATATCATATACTATTATATTTATTCATTCATTTTTATTTTGTTTGTATACTATTTGGCTGATTAATCTAATGGCTTATTATAGTTATAATAATTATTCTGATGTGTTAATATATTAGTGCCATCAAAACAATGTTCAATTTATATAATTTTTTTTCATGCCCTTTACAATATCTACAAAATCATTGATAAGGTCCTTGGTAATACCAATGTTCACTTTGTTGCAGCATGTCCCAATTTTGATTGGACAATCACACAGTTGTACCTTGCGTTGTAAATAACTTGAGCAATGAATGATTTTAATGTGATAATTGTGATGAATAATGAAATGAGACAGATGTAAATATAAATGATCAAGAAAGCTTACCGTCAACATTATTGAATGCTATTAATGAAATAAAGAATTGGTAAAGATTATGTTTTAAGAATACAAGTTTAATTCAATAATCAAAATTTGTTAATTTGTTAAGAATATATTTATTACAAAAAAAGATGTACACTCACTGGACAAAAATATATGAACATTTGTCGATCATCAAAAATAATCGAGTGACTTTGACGTAATAAAACTAAATATTTTATTAACCTAATCGATCCTATTTATTAAGTAGAAATCCTTTTTCATATCAAATTCTATAACATACTGAAGTTTCATTGCATATAAATAAA